GTGTTAGCTGAGCCACGGCCTGTGTGAGGTTCGCGAGCTCTGCTCGAAGGTGAATGAACATCTGCTCGTGGCGTGCCAGCATCGCGGCCAAAGTGGCGAGGGTGGGAGTCGAGACCGCTGGGTCTGCTGAATCCATTTCCGTGGCTGGATGATTCTGTCACGATCTGGTACAGGGATTCAACGCAGAGCGGTAAGGTATCTCCAAGGTGTGGTTTATTTACAGTGCAGTGCAATATATGTACAGTGAAGGGATCCAAAAACTCCGGGGGGAATCACAGGGTAACTCGCTCACGTCTTCTCCGCTCACACTCACACACTTTCCCGTAGCAGGGAGGTCGCAGGTCCGGGGGGGATCTGAAGCAGACGAGAAGGCAGGTCACCAACAAATCACAAGTCACGGATATGAAGCACAAGAGCTGTGAGAACACTAACGTTAGGGGTACAATCATCCAGCGACGAGAGGATCTGTGTTTCAGCCTCAAATAGTGCTCCCGGTGATGATGGGTGAGTGTTGTCAGGTGTGTGTGTGGGCCAAGGGCGGGAGCCCACAGTGAGCTCCGCCCAGGCAGAGAGGGAGAAAACAGCAACAGCAATTGTAGCCTTGTGGGGCCGACCGGGCAGGCACGGAGACCATGACAAGCGGAGCTGACTGGCAGGTGATGAAAGAGACATTCAACCTTTGCCGATTGTTTTATATCATATACCAGTGATCCATTCGATCCATAATTGTCCAATTCCATCCAGGCTAAACTATTGCAATCCAGTTATGTCCAGCTGAGCATTCATCATATCTTTTCCACAGAAGTGTAATTCAGTCTTCTGTCATCTTTAATCTGTGCTGTCCAGTTGAGTCTAGCACATTTAATCAGTCCAATTCACAGAGTTAGGTCATTTTAGTTTCTTCTAGTCTTGATCGTTTTAATGCTGCTCATCCCAGTTCCTCGTTGCTTGCTGAAGTAGGTCTCTATGTGACACCCCAGGCCAAATTCATTTGCTTTTTCACTTTCAGTTTTAAATCGATATTTGATTTGCTAAAGCAGCAGCTAATTACAGCATCTGAAGCCAGAACTGACTCCTGTGTTTTCTACAACAGAAACAGAAAAATACAAAAAACAGTCTATTTCAGTAGGTGGATCCCCCCGATTCAGCAATTCCAAAGGAAGCCGCGTGCTAAAATAGAAACGGGCTTCTCATTAACGGTTCCACAACGTGCTCAAAAGCTGCGAGTCAGCTTGAACCGAGAAAAAATATCGCTGTCTTTGTTCATGAAATTACAATAATTATTTAAAAAGGACTGTTTTGTTTATACAGCAGAAGTCTTGGTGAAATACAAATGAAAGAAAAAGTAAATGAAAAAGGTTAAAATAAAGCATAAAGGAAAATAAAGCTTGATAAAGATAAAAGCCATCACAGCCAGTAGTGTCTCCTGAGAAGAACAAATTAGATAAAACAGAGAAACGTGTGCTGCAGACGTTTCATATTTATGAAGTTGCATTTCACTTTAGCAAAGTCTCTTTGTCCTTATTATTCATTTTTATTATGCATTTGCCTGATTAAAAACATCTCACGTATTGCAAGTATCAAATGGTCATCTTAAACTGGCAGATCCCAATCAAAAGGCTCTGTGCAACATGTCAAACTGTGAGGGCCTCTCTATAGAATCGGTAGTCTTAATAAGAGTTTGTTAGACATTTTTTGTTTTTGTTTGGGGGTTTTTTGTTACTTGAGAATAGATCATATTTATTTAGTTTCTTAAGAAATGGTTGTTCTTGTGCGACCTTAAACATGCAACACTGAACAAACCATATTAAGCTTGTAATCCATGTATAATAGATTTGTTACTATGAAGAAGCAGTTAAGTACATTTTTGAGGGAAAGCACTTAGTTAATGAGCTTGCAGTTGTAAAACACAGCCAAGCAGAATAAATCATTATGCTTTCCAATGACTTATAAAGCGATAGTAAGCAACTAATATTCATGGGAACTTAAATATAAAGTGCAAATCTGCTCTCTCTCCACCCACATGTCTTGTCTGTATCTTCATTGCCACTATTAATACCAAAGCTGAATAACAGGGTAGAATGATAGAATGATAAAAGAACAAAAGAGTCACAAAATCTGCTCCTAAAACGACTTTAACACATTAAACATGGTTATAAAGGTAATCATTCAACTTCTTCAGTGCTCAATACTTAATACTCAATACGTAATGGACTATTTTTTTAAGTAAGATTTAAAAAAAAAAACTCCAGTATGTTCAGCTTAGAGATGAAGAATTTTCTGAAAGTTCATAAAATGATGCCCATCTTTGTGTGCAGAACAAATCGAGATGTAGACTCACTCGAGCTGTATCTGCAAGCATGCACATCTGCTGTGCGATGCAACCTCTTGCCCTAAGTGACCATACTGGCTTTTGCTTTCTGACCTTCATGACACAGGAATACACTCTATCTGTCACAAGTGCGTGTGACAGAGAATAGAAGACAGCCAGATGGTTCAAGAAACTCCATCTGTCATGGTTTTTTCCTCTTTTGGCATTGTTATCTTTGTGTGTGTATCTAGTTGTTTGTAGAAACAACACCTGCATGCCTTTTCTCCTGTTAAAAAAGAGGGAAAAAAAGGTTTCTGTGTTTTCCTGTTTGTGTGTATCGAGTAGGCGGAATTGTTTTCTGCTGTTTTCTGCTGAATGGCATGTGTTTGTGTGCGTGTGTGTGTGGGTGGGTGCATATGTGTATGTAGGCTTGACAGGCGGAGAGCGTTGTCTCTGTGCTTGTGTGCTGAAGGTCAGGCTAACTTCGAGTGTCTGAAGAAAAAAAAAGGTTCTCTCTCTCTCTCAGCATGTGTCTCTCGTCTCTCTCTATCACCCCCTTCCTTGCCACACAGCGAGTCCATAGCCACAGCTCAGTACCACATAACAGACAGAAGACCAAAAACAGGAAGAGTGAGAGGATGAGGAGAAACTTTGGGAAGATGGAGAGAACGTGTGCTGAAAGAGGGAGGGCAAAAAAGGAAGCAGAAGAGTGTAAAACAAGAGGAATCAAATGAGATGAAGTAAATGAAAACGGATGGGGCTTAAGATGAGAGAAAGTGATGAGAAAAGAAAAAAGGAAAGAGAAGAAGAAGAAGTGATGAGAGTAAAAGTGAGCCAAGCTGAGGTCCAGATTGGTGAGTGAAGGGAGAAAGGAAGGAACATAAGGAAGAAGGAATCAAAAGTTAACAAGACAGAAAGATAAGCAGAAAGAAAAATGAAAAGAAAAGGAAAAATGAATAAAAAGAAAGAAAACACAAAATGGAGAAGACAGAGAAACTCAGAAAGAAGTAAAACATGGCAGATAAAAAGGTTAGAAGGCAAACAGGAGATGGAGGCAGAGGGGAAGCATCTAGTGAGCTGAAAAGGAAGAGGAGAATTTAAAAAAGGAAGATGGGGATGACAGGAATGAAAGAAACCTAGAAAGAGACAGATACAAAAAAAGATAAGAAAGACAGCAAAGAAGAAAGAAAGAAGTAAATAGGAAGACAAAAAAGCAAATTAAAAACCAGAATGATGCAACAAAAGCTAAAATGTTAAGAATAAAATGGAAGTTTGGGAAACACAAAGTAGCAGACGAATAGCGGACAGGAAACACAAAGCAGGAAACAAGAAGTGAAACAAAGAAGCAAGAAAAGAAAAAGAGGAAATGGAGGAGAAGGAAGATGATGGAAAAGAAAGAAAAGTCAGTGACAAAGGGTTTTGATATAGCTGAACCAGTTGGATCTCTAAAAACAGAGGGAGCGAATGAAAGAGGAGAGGAATAATAACCGGGGTGAGAAGGAGTGGGTTGAGAAAGCGACAGAGAAGGAGAACATGAACAGTCATGACTGCCACTCCATCAGCTGTGGTGTAATTTAGCCGCGTTCACACCACGAAATGACCATAATGAATAATTTATCTCTGCTTAAGGGATATTAACTCTAAAGGGGCACTTATCTTCATCCTGTATGGAGAGGAACAGCTGTCACAGCCACTTCACCCAAACTGTAAAACTGACTAAAAGCAGTGGAAGTGATTTATAAATAATAATTATAGACCAAAACAACGCTGCAATATTCTGTTTATTCTCTCTCTCATTAAGCTTGTTTCCTATTTGGTATTACTTGGTCATTAGTGTTTAGCTTTTTAAACAGTATTACTTGAAGCTTTCCCGTTAATAGAGTGCTCAGTTTTTGGTCTTGCAGATGCATTTGCAGTTGCCTCTTTATGCTCTTCATACTTTAACATCTAAGAAGTCAGTGGCAAACGTTAATTAGCAAAAGACGTTTGGGTAATAAACAAATAAAGAATTTCAGGCTGCCTTTCTTTTTTCAATAGAGGTGGAGTTTGGTGGTATGTGGCTCTGTCATGGTATAGCAGCCTCAAGGCTCCAGGTACACAGTTGAACAGGTGGAAATTACAACACACATGACATCGATTAAGTCAGACACCACGTGAGAAGGAGAAGCTGAGGTGGAGGTGAGTTCCAAAGAAGCTTGCAGAGGCAGCAGCAATTATATGTAGTCCAAGGTTCCTTAGTAGTGCACCCTTAATAAAATTTACTATGAGGATTTGTAAAAGTGTGTTAGCTGAGCTATCACCTTTGGGGGCTTGCAGTGAGATCAGCTGTTTTCAGCTTTACCAAGCTGAGTGTGTCTTCCTTCCCTGCCTTAACCAACACTGTGCTCAGTACTTAGTGTAATAATAGAAGACATACAGTCTATAATAGTGACAAAGTTACTAATTAGAATTCAGAAGAAGTTATATTCTGAGTCTTGAATAAATGAATAATCCTCTTAATGTCTAAGCATTACTCTGCTCCAGGACCTCTCCACCCTCCAAGCTTATAAACTTTTCAGTTATCGCTGATGTGTCCCGATGCGTCTGCAGAAAAGATTACTGAGTCTGTGCCTCTAACACCCTTTACCACAGTGTACATTATGCTGTCACCTCTTTTTCTGACCATCTCACTCTCTCTCTGCCTGAGCAGGTAAAGGTGACCTGATCGGAGCAAACCTGTCCTTGGATAACCGGGTAATAAAAACCAATGCAGATGTGAAAGCCCTGACCTACTGTGACCTGCAGTGTATCAACCTGAAAGGACTCTATGAGGTGTTGGACCTCTATCCTGAGTACTCTCACCACTTCGTCCAGGACATCCAGCAGGACCTCACGTACAACCTGAGAGAGGGACACGAGGCACACGTGAGTCCATCCAAGTATTGGTGTATTGATTCCACATATAATTGGCTAACTTATAAAGCGAGGGAAATTAGTACAAACAGTTTGTAATCTTCGTGGTAGTTTCATTTTAAAGGAGAGAGTTACATCATTTACAGTTACATCATCAACAATAGCTCTCAGTCTGGAGCTTCTTAAAGCTTATCTCATGAGATTATTTTACATTGTGGAAAGCATATCCAAGCAAAATAAATGAGGAAAGTTACAAATTTAGCACGGGATCAAATCATGTTTTCCTTGGAAGGAGATTTAAACTGATTTTTAACTATACATCCCCCATGGACCGTTTTTTGATTGTGATGCCAAAAGAAGGAACTATGAAAAGAAAGAAAGATGTGAGAAGACATGCGTTAGGTGCTAATTTTGCTAAAGCAATAGCAATGAAATAATAAACTAAATAAGCAAAATAAATTTGGGGATCCCAAAGCCAAACACCAAATCAAATCTTTCATTTGTTTTAATTATCTCCATACACCCTTAATAGATCCTGATTTTTTAATATTTTTTAATTAATGATGCCTGGGTATTACCCACAGCAGTGCAAGAGAAGCAATTAATGTGCTCTCGCCAATTTCTCGGTGAAATGAATCACGATACTGTACTAATGTGTGAGAATGACTGATGAGTTTAGAGACGGCAAAGCAAGAAGGGTCTGGAAACTTTAAAATTACAGAGAGAGAGAGCTAGCTGAGCCGACTTGGAGAAGCTGAACTGCTGTAATTACAGTCAGGTGTTTTTGTCTCGCCTGCCCAAACGCCGCTGGCCCACTTACACGCGCACGCACATCATTAACACACACACACCCGCACTCACTCGGACTGCATGCCGCAGGGCTTTTAGGTGAGGCTAATGTGCAGAGGGGCAGCCCAAATCTCAGGGCTCAATAGACTTTAAATGAAGACAGGAGATGGAGGGGTGTTTTGCGGCTGAAATGTTGAGATTGCTTTTTTTTTTTGGTCTTACTATCCTGCATTTACCACTACAGTACTACTATATCAAGGTCATTAGGGTATTTGTCATTATCATCTATTCTATTCTTATACTGGCTTTAGAAAATAATTTACTGTATAACCTTGTGAACTGACTCACCTGTAAATTAAAAGCAAGAAAAGAAAGATGGCAGCTTAATTGCTCTTATCTGCAGTTCATTTACTGTGTTTCCTCTTTGGCTTTCTTCCAGGTTAAGGCCAGACTGTCCACAACAGCTCTAGAGACGCAGGTACCCAAATTCTCACTCTCACAAGCAGAAGCTAAACAGCTTTTAGACAGGTGCCATTAATTTAAAAGACTTGTCCGATCAGTTCATGTTGTTTGTTAACAGCCATCACCGAATTTTTCATCAGCTCTCACTAAGAAATTTGATGCTTCTGCACTCTGAAAACTTTGTTGGGTGACTCAGCGGAAGGCTTCAGTCACCGATAATGGGCACAATCATTGTTTGAGACTTGATGAAGGACGAAATAGATCACTTCTGCACAAAATTAGTTGCAGTCATTAGATCATGGCGGCACCAGAATAGAAGGCGATAAGATGCTCTATATACTGTCAAGCTGTTCCAATATTTTACAGAAGAGTCTATCTCTCTCGATGAGACATTAATCTCACGCTGGTGGTATTTTTGTCAGAGGAAGATGGTTCAGTAGGCGACTGTGGTCTTTACTTCTGCTATTATCAGGCTGAGACCTCATCTTGTAGCTGAAGGCTCATTGCAGACCACTAATGATAGACGCAGCTCTCTGTGTTCAATGAGACAGGTGTCAGGTGTTGCATTTACTGTTCTGCAGGACACATCTGCAACCTAAACTGTTGATCTGACCTTTTATCCAACTGAGTGGGCAACTCATTGCACTTACAAGTCATTAGTACATTTTGTTTACTTAAAAAAAATAAAGAACCATTTTATTAACTTTGCAGAGGAAAAAGTGAAATGGCCATGATGAGCCACAGATGAGCCAAAGTGATTTTAGATTTTAATTTAATTTTGCTTTTTTTTCAGTCAGAGGTGAAGAGGAACGGGCGAGTGGTTCAGGGCTATCCACCTATCACAGAGGCACAGGAGGAACATGAGGAAGATGCGGAGCTGGAGGAGCAAGAGGAGCAAGAGGAGCAAGAGGAGCAAGAGGCCGTGACCGTATCTTTGTTATCACAGCAGAAACGAGCAGTGAACCTCAGGGGGGCTGGTGAGAAGTCTCCAATGTGCGGACCCAGCCAGAAGAGCGTGGCACAAAACTCTAGCAGGTCTCGGAGGAAGATCCAGGAAATTACTCTCAACACTTTAGATCCTTCCAATCTCAGCCCCAGGTGAGTTTGTTCTCCACTGATTGGTCTTACTTCCTGTCTAGGCCTGTTTCCCTGTGAATCCAAGCTATGCCTATTTTTATATTTCTTTGGAAGAGTGCATATGCCGCAAACTAGAAATGACTCAAAAGTGTCATCAGTGACAAACAGTATGTGTATTTACTAAACCCTGTGACAGACTAATGGAAGTCTAATCCTCTTAATTTCTATTATGTGATCTATCAGTGAGGGTATACAGAAAAGGTTTCACACCCTGAAACGTGCAGTTTTTACAGAAACTGCAAAATGGAAGAAATATATCTCGGACTCCAACGACCTCAGTCAGCATATTAAATGTTACATTTATAATATACATGACAGCACAATCAGAAAACGACTAAATAAGTATGGCTTGTTTGGAAAGACAGCACAAAGAAAGCCTCTTCTTTCTAAAGAGAACATGGCAGCACAGGTTAGGTTTGCAGAGTTGCATCTGAGCAAACCACAAGGCTTCTGGAACAATGTCCTTTTGACAGATGAGACCAAAGTGAAGCTATTTGGCTATACAGCAACATGTTTGGTAAAATCCAAAAACAGCATATGAGCAGAATCACAGGTCATTTGGTTGTTTTGCAACCACATGACCTGGATGCCTTGCAGTCACTGAGCTGACCATGAACACCTTTGTAAACCAAAGTATTCTAGAGTCAAATATGAGGTTATTTGTCCAGCAGCTAAAGCTACAACAGACCCCTACGATCCTCTAAGATCATGTGGCAGGAACGTAAAGGAGCTGTGCATACATGACACCTCTATGAACTGAAGCAACATTGTAAAGCAGAGTGGGACAAAATTCCTCCACAATGCTATGAGTTATTGATAAAGTCATACAGAAAACCTTCACTGCAAGTTACTGCTGCTAAAAGTGGTTCTGTAAGCTATTGAATCATGGGAGGCATTTCGTTTCTCACAGCACTGAATAGAGTCGTGTTAAAACTTTCTCTAATGACACACACATGAATGAATCATTATGGAAAGGAGGAACCAACTGCATTAATTAATTCCTGATGAGAGACCTCCATGCACTTTCACTCATGTACATGGAAAGCAGAAGTCAGGGAACAGCAGCAAGATCCCAGAACGAACAGAGCAGACATCAGAAGACGTGGTATTAGTTAAGTCAGACATTATATATAAAGAAAGACTGAGGTGAAGGTGGGTTGCAAAGTGGCTTGCATCTTCACAGCAACTGTGGACAGGCTGGAGAAGCTTAAGTAGGAATCACATGACTCATTTGCCAGTTGAATGTGTGGAAGTGAAGCAGATGAACGTGGGTTCATATCATACTCACATTCACCCTTTGTCCAACACACACTATTGTATGACATGTGTTGGACAAAGGGTTAAATAGAGGGTTTAAAATGTATTATAAGAGACATTTCTGTATTTTTAAAGATGTAACCCCATTTCCAGTCTTTATGCTCATCATGGTTTAGACTGGATCATTTTAATGGGATGAATATTTGTCAGTGACATAGAGTATAAATCAAACAAGCTGGTTATTCGTATATAACTTATATAACTATCTTATATAGAAATAAAAATAACTGGCTAAATACACAAAATCTGTTGTAATATATATAGAATTCAGCTACATATTTTTTAAATTGCCGTTTATATTCACAAATATGCTTCACATTGAATTAAATACTGTGTTGATGTTAAAACTATGAATTTCAAATATATGGAAAATTTCGGTTTGTTTTTAAACACATAATCTTATATTTCTGGCCTAAAATATTTTAGGGAATAGCACCATAATGCAATAACCAAAATGTGTACATTGTGTAGTGTTATTGCACAATAATATAATAATATCTCTCTGCAGGATAGTGGATGGTACTGAAGACAGTCAGGGGACAGAGAGCTCCCTGGCCTTCTCCTTCTCTAACCAAGGCCATCCTGTCAGTGAACCAACCAGTGCCTCAGCACCAACCACAGGTATTCTCTTCATGTAGCGCAACTCACAGACATGAACCTATGTCATTTACTGTCCCAGATGCAAAAACACTTTGTAGACAGAGTGCTTAATGGCTGTATAATGGCTGTAGTGCAATCAACTGTGGGGTGTATATTGGTCCTTGATTGAAGGGAATTATACATTTCTTATTTGTTACAGATATGCTGCGCATAAGCACAGCCGAATTAGCAGCTAAAGCGGAGGAGACCAGAGGACAACTGCGACACCTCGATCAACAGGTGGGATCTTGCGTGCGTTTATAGGGACCTCGTCTCCTTTTGGATTACAAAAAGCAAGTTCACACAATATTAAATGATTCGATTTTAAGTTAAAAAATTAGTTTATGGTAAGAGCAAGAATTAAGAGGAGTTTGTTATCTTAGATTAAGTTTAATGCTCTCATAGAAACATGACTGTGGTGAGACAGAGAGTGATAGAGATAGAGAGACAGGGCTCAAGTAAGCACAAACCATATGGCTGTATCAGCATGTCAGCCACAAGACAGATGAAAGGACTGAGGGAAGTAATGAAGCAAAAACGACAAACAAATAAGCATTTTAAACCCTATTAGTTCGTTTCGTTTACTTAATCTTTCTCTATTTGTATTTTTTCACATTAACATACAGTTGAAATGCTGAAGATTTTAGTCATATTTTTATTTTTAATTCTCGTGGTGCTCTGTCAAACTTAAAATGTCCACACATACACGCAAACAGACTGCCGTGCTGTTTCCTATGGTTTTGATTGGCGGGCGGCTAAATTGACATTAGACCCCTTGGCAGGTGAGGAGGAGTGTTCGCCTCCTCCTGTTAAGCCTTGGTGTGTATCATATGGGATGACTGAGGTAGAGAGAAAAGAGAAAGAGATAACCTGTAAAAAAATAGACAAATAAATGAGATCCTCTGGACTTTTTTTTTTTTTTTTTTTTTTGCTGTTGTTGCTAGTAGAAACATGATGTGTGTAAAGCATGAGTAATGAAAGAAATCTATAAAAGAGAGGAAAGACAATGGCACAGCCTTTTCACAGTTATGCACACTGGCTCTGTGCCTCCTCTGTCTCTGTGGGTGACCGGTGGTTAACAGGAAGGACCTCAGCATGGTCTTGTAGGCTGTTAATCCACACTTGGATCCATTCAAAGCAATCACCATAGGAGATGAAAAGGGCCGTTTGATTTGAACCCTATCAGCTCCCCATGCAAACGTACACTAGTCCAACAAAAGCACGACAAAGGAGACAAAAAAATCATTTATAGGCAAAAAGAAATTACATTTATTTTAAGCTATGCTAGCACTGGCTGATTTATTCAGCATTAGTGAGATACCCAATTTTGTCATTTTTAATCAAAATCAGAAGAGGTTCCTGTTGAGATGATAATCCAAGGGGGTAATTTTCACTTCTTGTTTCTGCCTTTATTCAAAGGAGTCACTACCACTGAATAACAAAGCTCGAACTTTATTTTTTCAAAATTCAGTAAGGCCATCTGAGCCAAAGGCTTACAAGGTTAACATCATTCAGACCTATACCACATTCTCACCATGTTAACTCCAGATTTTTCTTCATGCTGCTACAAGACATACTTCTTGCTCTTTGGCCTCTTACACTTGCCCTGCGACTTGGCGCCATGACAGGACCGTTTATTTATCCAGTGGGAGAAATTCAAATTCAAATGAGGCCTAGCATGGTGACCTCTGTACTACGCCAAGGAAATCATCATGTGCATAGGAGAGCAGGAGCAATGGGAGCATTACCTGAACAGCTTGAGTAATTAGATGCATAATTACTAAAAGAGGCTGCTAGAAAGACATGAAACAACACAATAGGCATGCCTGCTCATCAGTAGCGACCCACTTTTGAACACAATGAACAATAAGAAACAAAGAAAAAGTCAGGTACTTGAAACTAAGGCATGAATACAGCAGAAGTTTTAAGCAGATGATAGAATTAAATCAGTCTGTCATATAAGAGAAATTTAAATAATCCTGTCTTAAATTAAACTAAAATGAGTACATATCAATCATATGTATGTCATGCAATAAGCTAAACAGTAAGCAAAGGGAAGCACTGTGAATTTATTCACTGCATGATCTCCCAGGCGGCATAGAGAGCAATCAGGATTTTAGTATTCATGCAATTTCCTGCTGTTGTTTAATATGTTGGATTACTATATTTATGCACTGCAGCACTACAGCTCAACACTTTTAAAACACTCATGGATAAGTAAACATCAGCTTTGTTTGGTCTAACTATGCTCTTACTGACTTTGAGGGTACCTGTCGCTGCATCGCTGCTGTTTCTCTAACCCGTCTATCTCTGACGTGGGCGTACTAGAATCACGTTGACAGCGTGTCAGATTGGACTGGACCGCCACTCTTGGCTTTTCTATTTTTATCAGAGTCAGAGTTTAGACCCGGCCACATGTGAGAGGGAGAGATTGAAAAAGGGGGGATGTTTTTCTATGGTAAAAGCAAAAGTAGGATTTTGGTCAGGGTTTCGTGATGCTGATCAAAGTTTAACAACCTCAATGCTGTAAGACGCTAAAAATCCTGCCTAAAAACGACTGAGCCAGGTAATCACTTTGGACAACATTCGCCTAGGCGGCAACATAACAATGTGAGCTGAGAGAGGAAATGGAAGTTCCCAGCCTGATTAGGTCTGTCGTGATCACAATATACTTGAGTGCTCATCCTCATCACCTCTTGACATATTCATGCAGCGACCAGAGCAATTCCCACCTGGAGTTGTGTGTCCCGCTGGGGGCTGATGTGCATCCAGTTGCGCTGGCGTGCATGATTGGCCTGATGAATGGTCATGAGTGCTTTGACTGGCAGAAGCAGATGGCACATTGGCAGCACTTCATAGTCGTGCCTTCTGTGGACACGCCACGTGCAGAGAGCTACTAATCAGCAACCCCCCTCATCAGTGTAATGACCAATTATAGCAGCTTGAAGTTACATGCAAAACGGCAGGCACGAAATAGATATTTGACCTGGAAGGGCTGACCTGAAAAAAACAAATTCATAATCTGTGGCTTTTTGTAGATTAGCAGTGTCTCCTCACAAGTTTGTGTCATATATTCAGAAAAATCAATTTGATGGTAATGACTGGAATGTGAGAGTTATAGTCAAATTTGTTAAGCAAAATATAGCAAATGCAGTCTTGTAGATTGTAGCTATAAACCTCCAGAACTGCAAAATGAAGCCCACGTTCAAGTTCTAAAAACTGCAGTTCCTCCAGTGGCCACTTGAGGCTGGATCTGAATCAGTCCCCATAAACTGAAATGGCCAACCTTACTGGTTTGCAGTCTAGTAAAAGTTTTGGGGTTATGTGTCTAACCCTTCTTTCCTTCATTATAATTCTACATGGATTTGCTGAACTGGGCCTCCACATGGTTCTGGTGCTGTTTGTGCTTTTGGAGCATATTAATGGAATAATTTGGCTTGCTTTGTTGTATGTGAAGGTTCTCAGTGATCCAAGTCATCATAGTCTAAGGAGTTTAGAAAGAAAAGCATCTTTCCACGCTCCTTAGACTACGCCGTACACTTTGGGAGGAACACCTTTCAATTGCTGAGGGAGTATGAAAGTAATCAAGGAAATTAGCGGATTATAGGAACCATCTCCGCTTGGTTTATTGCGCCGCCTGTAGAGGAAGTTAGTTCTTCGGTTTTCCCTAAAATATCTTCATATTATAAAAAAAAAGAAGTGCAATTTCAACAGAATGTCTCAGTCTTTCTTCGTGATATATGTGTAAAATTACAGAAAAGGTTCTGGTAGCTCAGCGCCCAGACAGACATAACATTTTTGTTGATTGATGAAAATGTTCTTTTTTCTATTTAAAATAGAATTTCTATAATAGACAGTGGAAAAATAGTAATTTTCATGTCATTATCTGTCACTTAACTACTTTGGTGGAGTGTGAATAGCTGCTCCAAAAACTTATGTCCTCCTTCATATTTTCCAAAGCTGACCCAGGCCTTAAATTTGACACTCATCCTCTAGACAATAAAGCCAGTATTGCTGTTAGATGGACAACATTAGTGGCATATTTTTTTTTATAACACAGCCAAAAAGCATTGTCTAAAGTCAGCCGTAACAATTTTCAGCCATGTTCTGATTTCGTGGAGCAGAGAGTGTGATCTGTATTCAGCAGCCTGAGGAATTTTGGTACCCTGGTGGGAGGTGTGCAGTTTGTTTGGTATGCAGTACTTTTTCACAGCTCACTGTGGATCCTCGTTATTGCACTACTTTCCTGCAAAGTCTAACAAAACGATCCACTGACAAAAACAACTTAAATGGTTGTCTAATTGTAGTCGGCGCACTAACCGCTGGGACAAACAAACCAAGCCAACCTTTTTTTTCCCTTTTTTTTTTTTTTTTTTACATTTGAATGCCTTTAGTGTGAACCAGTAGCAGCAGTAGGACTGTTAAAAATGAACATACAGTGGGAAGGGTGGGATAAAGATGCACTTTATTGTGTACATTTTCTATAAATATGCATATGAATCTAGGACGGTAGCTGCAGATTCCAGTAAAAGCTACCACACAGGGACTTAAAATAAATTACAAGCTTGCTTCCACAAAAACAAAAACAAAAAAAACATTGTAACCCATATGACACCAACACAATATTTTTTTTTATTTTCAATACTTGTGGAGTGCTTTGGATGATGTATACCAGCCATAGTTACAGGCAGATTGTCTCTTGATTCTTGTTTGTTTCTGCAGGTGAGCACCCTTCGGAGAGAAGTGGCCGACCTGGGGCAGGTCATGAAGAGAATGGCTCAACTCATGGAGACCCTCATGACGTCAGTGCCACAACCTGCAGTAGTCTGCCCCACACATTACTCCCCAGCACGTCACACATACCTACACCATTCCCCCTCCCGTCAGATTTTCCCTTCACCATTCCCCTCTCAGACTGCCACAGTGTGGACAGAAACACCCATGTCGTTACCTTCCTCCCCCCTCATCATGTCCCAGCAGCATAGCACATTGTGCCACTCCCTCATACACAAAACCCAAGACCTCCTTTTGGGGGACATAGGTATTCCCAGCTCAACTCCATCTCCAACTGCCAGCTCATTGGCCCTTCAAGTGCAGCCATCCTCTGTGATCTCAGAGCCACACATGCCTTTGTCGCACCTCAGCTCTCCAGAGTTTCCCCACTGCAGAGGCAGGGCTTCTAGCTCCATTAGGCCAGGTGCACACAGTCCACCTCCGCAGGACGGAGGACATGAGGGTCTTATTCAGAGCTCTGGTGGTTCTCCTCAAACTGGACTCGGGGATGTCAACCACAACCCAACCAAGGATTTGTAGCAGACCTTAATCACAAATGTCTTGGAGTCTGCAGGACTTTCTCAAGAACACTTTTTGGGATATTTTCCTAAACTCAAGCTAAGACTGATAAACTGGGGTCCCCTCTACCACTGGAAAATGTTTACAGGGACACAACTCAGATGTTTTTCTTCTTTTTGTTTAAAGGCACGTGTTTCAAATCCCCATTGCATGAAAACAAGTACAGAAGGTTTAGGTGTGTTAGCTTTAACTTATAGAAACTACGTGTTGTTAGAGGCTTGGGTCGGTTGTGGAGCTCTGGTCTTTCTGGTCCGTAGCGGCAACTATCAGCTTACCTCCAGTACCTTCCCCCACAGCAAGCCTGTGCCATAATGTAGGATGGAGGAGAAAAAGAAGATATTTTTTTTTTTTTTTTTTTTTTGCTTTTGACTGAAAATGGTTTCATGCTGGAGGAGGAGAAAGCACTGGGAGTGCTGGGTTTAGAACAAGCGGTGAGGGTGTGTTGTGGAGGGCAACCCTCTCTTTTAACCCCTTTTTCCTTGCTCATTCAACCAGTGTCAGATGCTCTGGATTTCATGGAACAGTGACTGGTTGGACTTGGAGCACAGAACGGCGTGAGTAGAGAGATGGGAAGTATTGTGCTCTTCACCGCTGGCCCTCGGGAAAGTGTGGGAGGTGGGGGTGGAAGAAGACAGTTAAGGAGGTGGTGGTAGGGTATGGTGTGCCTCAGGCACCACAGCCCCTGCTGTTGTCTGTCACTAAGAGCACAGGGACTTTCTTTCTCCCTCTCCGTTTCCCCTTTCCAGTGTTTCTCTCCATACACCTCTCTCTCTTTCTCCTTCCTTCCTTTCTCTCTCTCTCTGCATGCCTATCCGAGCCTTTTGAGTAGTGCCTGTAGACAAACATTAACATGCTGCATGTCACCCTGTGGAAATCCAGCTTGCCATTTATCTATCTATTTAAAGGAAACACAGTTCAGTCTTTAATAGCTGAACCTGGCATTTTACTGATGCATATTTATTGGATGTGGGCTTAGTTAAAAAAAAATCTGATTAATTTAGCACAAGATAGTCGCCCATGTTGTGAAAAGGCCTGGAGCAAATATTACCGATGCTAAATTGGTTTATGATCCGCAATGTAGACTTTTTCTCCAGGGTCATCAATCCTGAGATCCACTTTCTCAACTGCTCAGAAAGAAGGCAATATCCTCACATAAAAGCACAATAAGGACATAAAGACGCTTTTATATTTCTATGAATGTATCGATACTAAAGCTGTATTTTTTTACCTCAGAAATTGCACGAGTGTGGGATGGCAGTAAATGATGCTACTGTATATAAAAAAAGTTATGGCAGTGCTGTTTGCTGGTATCAGCTGATGCAATCCTAAACCAGGAAAAGGTCATAACTCTCATCCCGACAGATCTACTGTTCTCTTTTGGATTCATGTAGGTTTGACTCTGCTTCTCTGCAAATGGAATGTACTGTAATCAAACTTTTATCCCTAACATTTTGATATTTATTAGATAAAAAAAATGTTATGCTAATAAACAGCAATTATGACTGTTACCTACTATGTTTTTTGTTGTTTTTTTTTGTTTAGTAAAACATTCAAGAACTGAAAAGAGGTTATTCAAGGGCACAACATCCAAGGAGCTACAATTTCCTGTGCAAAAGTGTTGAGCCACTCCTCATTTCTATTTTCCTTACAAGGAGCCATACTTGTATCTTCAGGAATTTTGTTATCATAATTTGCTTACAGTTTTCAAGTTGATTCTGTAAAAAATGATGAGGAAAAATAGTTTGACAGGACTGAAATAGTATTTTTGCACCAACAAGATGATTCACTAAGAACAAACTGTCCCGTTTGGCTCTTTTGCCATCAGAATTGTTGTCTAAAGGCAAAGAAAGATGCCCAACGGATTTACTTTACCAAACTGACCATCCCAGCCTTGCCGTAATGGTCCATTTGATTCACCTTTTATTGTTTATTTTATTTTCACTTACTGAATACGGGACAGACTTGACTGGGGGAAAGAAGGGGAGAAAGAAAGAGGGAAAGAGAAACAGCTGAGAAGAGGGACGGGGGAGAAGGGCAAAAGACAAAAACCAACAGAATGGGCAGAGAAAAAAAAATGCATATATCAATCACCTGGATCACCTGCTGAGAAAGAAAAAAGAAAGCAAGCAGAAGAGAACAAGAGTAATAGAATAAACAACATCACAATGATATATGGGAATATGACAGTAAATACTAAATATTAAACATTATTGTGCAGCACATAAGATCAACAGAACACAGTGTGCTTTGAGGTAGGAGCCAAAAAGGGTGTAGTTTGTGGGTGTGATCACCCGTGTGTACACCTGTGAGCATGGACGCGCTTGTTTTTTGTTTTTTTAAAAGGTTCCTTCATGTAATAATCTGCTAGAGGGTGTGGGGGGGCCACAGCCCCGTCCTCCAGGGCATGAAGCAGGTGTGGAGGAGATCAAAACTCCAGACATCCAGAGGCCCCCAGAACACAAGAGACCAAGGAAGACCAACAGAGGGGCAGCCGCGCCACTGTCCCAGAAAGAGCAGAAGCCAGGGGGAGTTGCAGTGACGCGCCCGTGAGCTCCGCCGGCAGCCAGCTGCGCCTGAGTGACCGAGCCCCAGGCCGAGAGGCCGGGGGCACCCCACCTCCGAAGTGGCCCGAGCGAGCCCCAGGCTCCAGGCCCATAAGCGGCCGCCAAGGAGTGAGCCGGTGTGTACCTGGACGCCCATCCCCGGACACAAAGAACCACCAACGCACCGATGTCTGAGGGAGTCCGTCACTGGCAGGGGAAGTGGTGGTAGGGGGAGATAGGCCTCCAAACCTTGGAGGGCCTGAGATGTCCCCAGAGAGGTGGCGCCTGACACCCAACCTGACATATAGACACATACAGGCACACACAGATACAAACATCCATTCCCACCCTCATGCTCTCATATGCACTTACTCCACACTCAACCAACGTGGAGACAGACATAAAGAGACGTTGTACACACGATCACACTCCCCAAGCGTACTCTACAAACCGGGTCTAGGTGCCCCCGCCCCTGGAGGGGGGAACTGCACCCAGACCCAGGTGGTGTTTCCCTTTTCCCTGCGGTGGGGGGAGGCAGACCGCCCCGACTCCGCAGCAGCAGGAAGGCTCCACACTCCAGACCGCAGTCGGACGGCCAACTCCTCCTCCTCCTCCTAGCCCCCCCGCTCCAGCAGGTCGCAGAGAATGGGGGTGAGAGAAGACTCCAAACCTCCCTCCACCCGCTCATTGTAGTGTTGATGCATGTGTGTTCTAAGGTGCATTTAAAACCCAGGAGGGCATGGAGCTACCTGCCAGAGAGCAGCAGGTAAGCGCATGGTCCCTCCTGCTAGCCCTCAATGTCTACGTGTATTTAAAATTGAGAGGTGGGCAACGATGCCAGGGGTGGGGTGTATACCCTGATGGTACTTTGGACTCCGTGTATCGTGCCCACCCCCAAGATCCTATATGTATGTGTAATGAGAGTGTGAGTAATGTGAATGTCTAAGTTGTGGGATAAAATTGAGGCAGAGGCAGCCAGAAGGGGACAGAGGGGGGGGTAGCCTCCTCTGCACCCTGGTGACATACCCCTACTCCAAGGCCCTGCATGTGTGGGTGGTTGTGGTGGAGCGGGAAGAGGGAGGCAGCTGGAGATGGGGAGGGAAGGAAGGGAGGGGCAAGTGACCCCTCCCTGGGGCCAGCTCCCCCGCTGACCCCAGTAGGCACCCCCATACTCCGCGACCCGCCAGGGAAAGGGGCCCAGGCCCATCCAGACCGGGGCCCAGTGCAGCAGCGCCGCCCGGCCCCACAGAGCCCGGGACAGTCCACCCAACCCCACCACAGAGAAAACTGCACCCACCCCACCATCCACTCATCTTCCAGACTACATAAGACAATAAACACCCAGGCTGAGATCTTCCTCCACCTCTCCTGTATCTCCCCCTCCTGCAGAGGGAGCTCCTGAGGAGAGGAAAGCTCCTGCAAGATGTGACAATCTCCCCCACCAGTTGAAGAGCCCCCCAGTGGCTCGACGCACCAGCGGCACCCTGCTCCAGGGCTGGGCCCCCATGCACCCACCCGCCCACAACCCCGGCAACACACCAACCAGGACCCAAGCCCCCGAGGCCCGGTCCAGGTCCCAGCCCAGAGACGGAGCGCCCCCAGAACCTCACGCCCATCCCGGACCCACCCAGGGGCAGCCAGGCTACCAGGTCAGTAACCCACGTCCGTCAGCACAGACCCTCCCCTAGCCCCGCTGCACGCAGCCGCGAGGAAACAGTCACCTGAGAGCCAACAGAGCCCCTAACCGGACATGACCGCTACCCCGGGTTGAGCCCCCCAAGGAAGATGCCTCCGGGGAACCCCCGACGCCCTAAGCCTGTCCCTACCCCCACACCAATCACAACAGTGAAGGCGGGACCAAACTATGACCCCCACCCCCACTAGGTGATGGAGCTGATCAAAGGAGCCCAGAGCAATTGATCTGATGTGGTGGCAGAGGCTGTATCAAGACTAATGTAATCTAATAGATAATTTCTATATTGGTTAGAATTAAGATTATTTTTATTTTTCCAGTTCATGAGGACTGTTTTCTTGGCTATGCATAGGGCAGTGAAAACCATATGGGCTATATTCTTTTCTGAAGTGACATTATCTAAGCTGCCCAACAAACACACTAAGGGGGAAGTTGGAATGTTACATTTCAGACACTTCGATAAGTCTTCACATATCTCGCGCCAAAACTTCTGAACTGGTGGACAGAACCAAAGAGCGTGGATATAATTGTCCGGTGAATTGGTTTGGCAGTGTGAGCTGTTGTTGGTAGACGTAAAGCCCATCTTGAACATCCGATGACCTGTATAGTGCACTCTATGTAATATTTTGTATTGAATTAATTGAAGACTGGGATTTCTAATTAGATGAAAGGTTTTTAAGCAAACCTGAGACCAGAAGTTTAGGTCTAAGTTAACTGATAAATCCGCTTCCCATTTTGCAATAGGAAGTGATATTGATTCATCTGTTTTAGAAAGCATTCTGTATATTTTGGATAGTAATTTGGGGGGTTTAAGAGTAAGAAATTGAACCACACTTGGTGGTGTTTGTAGTTCAACTTGACCGGTTTAAATTTCTTTTTTACTATGGATTTAATTTGTTGATATTCTAAAAATCTTTTCTTGTTGATCCCATATTGTGTAACTAGTCCGTCAAATGAAATAAATTCTGTTCCTTCTAGTATATGTTCTAAATATTTGATTCCTTTATCACTCCAATCTGAAAAGTTTATCATATTATTGTTTTG